CTGCTGCTCTCTACCAAATAAATCTGCTGCAGTCTCCTGTATACCAAACTCTCTAAATCTGCTGCAGTCTCCTGTATACCAAACTCTCTAAAAATCTGCTGCAGTCTCCTGTATACCAAACTCTCTAAATAAATCTACCAACTCTCTAAATCTGCTGCAGTCTCCTGTATACCAAACTCTCTAAATCTGCTGCAGTCTCCTGTATACCAAACTCTCTAAATAAATCTGCTGCAGTCTCCTGTATACCAAACTCTCTAAATCTGCTGCAGTCTCCTGTATACCAAACTCTCTAAATAATTCTGCTGCAGTCTCCTGTATACCAGACTCTCTAAATCTGCTGCAGTCTCCTGTATACCAAACTCTCTAAATCTGCTGCAGTCTCCTGTATACCAAACTCTCTAAATCTGCTGCAGTCTCCTGTATACCAAACTCTAAATAAATCTGCTGCAGTCTCCTATATACCAAACTCTCTAAATCTGCTGCAGTCTCCTGTATACCAAACTCTCTAAATCTGCTGCAGTCTCCTGTATACCAAACTCTCTAAATCTGCTGCAGTCTCCTGTATACCAAACTCTCTAAATCTGCTGCAGTCTCCTGTGTATACCAGTCTCCTGTATACCAAACTCTCTAAATCTGCTGCAGTCTCCTGTATACCAAACTCTCTAAATCTGCTGCAGTCTCCTGTATACCAGACTCTCTAAATAAATCTGCTGCAGTCTCCTGTATACCAAACTCTCTAAATCTGCTGCAGTCTCCTGTATACCAAACTCTCTAAATCTGCTGCAGTCTCCTATATACCAAACTCTCTAAATCTGCTGCAGTATACCAAACTCTCCTGTATACCAAACTCTCAAAATCTGCTGCAGTCTCCTGTATACCAAACTCTCTAAATCTGCTGCAGTCTCCTGTATACCAAACTCTCTAAATCTGCTGCAGTCTCCTGTATACCAAACTCTCTAAATCTGCTGCAGTCTCCTGTATACCAGACTCTCTAAATCTGCTGCAGTCTCCTGTATACCAGACTCTCTAAATCTGCTGCAGTCTCCTGTATACCAAACTCTCTAAATCTGCTGCAGTCTCCTGTATACCAGACTCTCTAAACCTGCTGCAGTCTCCTCTCTCTAAATCTGCTGCACTCTCCTGTATACCAAACTCTCTAAATCTGCTGCAGTCTCCTGACTCTCCTGTATACCAAAAATCTGCTGCAGTCTCCTGTATACCAAACTCTCTAAATCTGCTGCAGTCTCCTGTATACCAGACTCTCTAAATCTGCTGCAGTCTCCTGTATACCAAACTCTCTAAACCTGCTGCAGTCTCCTGTATACCAAACTCTCTAAATCTGCTGCAGTCTCCTATATACCAAACCTCTAAATCTGCTGCAGTCTCCAAAATTACATACTATCAAAATCTGCTGCAGTCTGATGCAGTCTTTATAAGCCAAACTCACTACATATGCTGCAGGCTCAATTCAAATAATTTTCACCACAAATCTACCTGTAACCCATATATGTGTATACTTGTATCTGGGATCGATATATATAGTTATTTCTTGAATACATGATTTGCATGAAATAGCTGTTTGCATTCCTGGAGTCCAGGAGTCTCGACCCTGTATGGAATGCACTAGAATAACACTGAAGTTGTTTGGCAGATTTGAGCTTGTCTGAAAAAGTTTGCCAGGTCCATTCTTAAGCCTGCCTGGGATTTAACACAATCACTACATTTCATTTTTGAAAGACTTTGATAATAATTTATTGATATAGATGCGAATGCTGTACATTTGTATTCCTTCTGATACCTGTAGTAAATAACAGCTTCAGATATTGTAATGCAGCTGTTTTATTCTCGATCAAAGTTCATTGCCCTGTATCCTGATGATATGTGACTATGTTTTATTTATGTTTAGCTTTTAAAATGCATTAAAGGAATTATATAATCTAATCCCTACTGCTGGCATGAATAGACTACAGAACCATATCATTCTGTTGTGTTTAAATTCAAACATTGAAAGAGATGAAGTTCCACATTTCAAGTTAGAATTATTTATGTCACTGCCTCTGCTAGGATTTGAACCTGGAACCACTGGCGTACGAGTTGGACACTCAGCCAATCGAGCTAAAGAGAAATTATGTCTAACCGAGCAGTATATGGCAGCTAGTATTTTACCAGGGTTACGTACTCCCCCTCCAGGAAATATCTCGTTGAGTTCCAAGGGGTTACAGCGATGTTGGTGGGGTATGGCTAAGCATTATTCCCAAGTCCCTGCATGGGCACCAATGTAACAGAGGTTATAATTAATTTCAATGCCTCTGCTAGGATTCAAAGCTGGAACCCCTGACTTACTAGTCTGACACTCAACCAATCAAGCTAAAGAGAAGTTCTCTCTAGCCGAGTGGTATGTTGCAGCTAGTATTTTACCAGGGTTACAGAAGAAATATCGAATGTATTGGGGATACATTGAATTTGAATTTGATGAATAAATCTGTATTCCAAATACCTTGAATTGAATAAGTATTAATTTGTCAAGTCCCACAATTTAGGAGGAAAACAGCTAAACTTTTCTCATTACTTTAGACATAAATGATCAGAACTACTGCTTAATCATTGAAAACTGAACTTTAAATACACTTGACATTGGAAGTTTATAATATTTGTTATCTTAAGACATTGATTAAGAGATTGAATACAGATGGTTTTCCTTTATGAAATTTACAAAAAAATAAAACATTGCTTAAGGTTGAATATAAATGTTGAAGTTAATCTGCTGCAGAATCGAGCACATTTGAAATGTGTGGGCCATTTCAGTTATGGCAGTCATCAATATATCAGTTATATATAAACAAACTCTCTGGTATTTGAATTTCCTTATCAGTATAATTTGAATTGACCTATAGTGCTCTCTCATGGCTGCAGGGCATATTGAAAAAAAAGGATTTTGACTTTGCTTCCAAAAAACTGAACAGATTTTATTTTGTAAACATTTTTGGGAGCCAGTAGCCTGTGAATGTGTCTTTGGTTTTCAGTGGTGTTAAAATAGTCATTGCTCTTGATTTACACTATAAAAATTGCCCTATAGAAAACATATTAACATTAGAAAATATTTAATGAAGATCATTTTGAATGCAGTTTCTTGGTTGACCAGTAAAAATGTAACTTTCTTTTAGTTATTTCCATTCAGGTAGCCTCGGCCATTCCCCTTGTACTTAAGATAACTTGAAACACTAGAACACTATCACAGAAGTATACGTTGCAATCACAGTCAATGAAACACTTGTTTTTTCGTATATAGTTTCGGTTGCAGGAGGCAAACATTTTCTTATCTGCTGATGTGCTGAAATTTGGAGATTTTGTGCAATAATGCTGCAAGTAATCAATGCATAATGACCGTTTGAATGGGTGACTTTAATTTCATAGGCACAAGCAATTACATCTAGTTGCCAATAATAATCACTCTTCTGTAGTCAAAATATACTCATTAGAACAACTGGACAAGTGCTTACACCATCCTTGATAATTAAAGCATTGTGGACTGCAGTGTTTATGGTATAATGAAGAATAAAATGGTAAGGTTCTAGTTTTTTCTAAAGATAAAAAAACATCTTCTGAAGTAAATGAAAACCACATAATGATATCACAAACACATGGTTTCTGTCAGCTGATAAAAATTTACTGCTCGTTTACTTAGTCCATCATTATCAGTTGGTGGGTTGCTGAACTTGACCTTCAACTCGGGTCCCTGGTCCGTCCTGAAATATATCACTATTTACTAGAGACTTCTCTATAGAATAAGGACTTTTCTCAAAGTTGTTTATGTTCAATTTTGAGACTGACCAAGGAAAAAGAATGGCTGACATGTATAGTAACTCTATTGTTCCTACAAGGGTGCTGACATAGGATCTTATTAAACTTTGACCCAGTGTAGGGAGGTGGTCTTACTAAAGACTAGTCATATAGAATTTGTTGTCATCTCTACTAATACTGCAATAGAAGTAGGTGGGGTTATTAACATACATGGGCTTATTGCCAAACTCCTGTATTAAAGGGGTGATATCTTACCTGTATTTGCCTGTTTGTGATAAATGTTTACCTGGTAGACAAGTTACTCCAACTTTTTGTATTTTTTAAATGTGCTGTTTGATTTTTTATTAGCATGAAAATTAAATGTTTGGGCATGTTTTTCCTGTCTTTTATCCTCGGACGAAAACATTTCAAGGTAAAGGAAAACTGTTTAGTGTATGTAAATGGTCATGGAGCATTAAGACGGTGAGATTAACAGACGTTCTGATTTATATTTAGCCTGGATAAATTATTGTATCTGTGTATAGGGGTGTATCCATCCTGTCTCTGCAGTGTGGACGTCTGTAATATATGTACTTCTGTGATGTCAATCATATAGACCAAGATCAAAGACTAATCAGGTTTAACTGATTGAAATTGATTGGTTTTCCGACAGGTAGGTTAATGTTTGGACATAATATATAATGTTGTTACCTGTGTGGCAGAATAAGGTCAAGGCATTATGATGGGGGAGGGGGCCATGGCTTTGAACCGGTTATGAAACAAGCTGAGACATGGATAGGAGATCTCACTGATTTTACCAAGTTTTAGTGTAACCTGATCACAACCAGATCCACACGCTGCCCACAAACACATGTTGAAACCATTGTTAGAGTCATACAATACCTTTTGACTTGGGCATTGTCGGGTACTAATTACAAATCATAGGCCAGATGTGTACAGAGTTGTAGGATGTAGTGTATGTTTGGGTCGTGTAGGGACAAAATACAGCAAGGTACACAGGCTTTGTGGGGGACAGATTAGTGCATTGACTTACAGGCAGTTATTGTGAGCACATGTCCTGCTTATATGAAGGGAAATAGTGTTCAGTGGATTAAAGAACTTCCTTAAACTTTCGGACATGTAGTGTGTGTACTGTGAGGTGGGATATTTATATATATACATATATATATACGCACATAGTCTCTCTGTCACTTCCTGTGTTAGAGGAACACCTCATTTCAATACAACATGGGCACACAGATCGACACAATGAGGTAAGATTTCAGAGTGACTGTCAATTGTATAAAGTGAGTGAGAAAGTATATATTAAAATTTGTAATCCCAGCTTAATCGGAGTCATATACACTAATGTTATTTTCTGTTGATGATGGTTAATTGTCTTGTAGTATGTATGTAGGTCACAGACATGTTAACACTATGTAAAATGATATAGCTAACTCATTAAGTCATTTTTTAAACAAGCTTGACTAGGTTAATAATTATTCTGTTACATAATTCCATTTAGGCTCAATATGCAAAGTCTGGCTAACAGATGCTTGCTGCTTAAAAACGAATAAGTCTGATTGAATCTTGAATTTATAAAGAATCGAGATAAATTCAAGATTCTAGAGATAAGAGACCAATCTAGTAATTGATTTGACAAATTGATCAGATAACTGACAAAATCTTGGTACGATTTTTAAGGTCATTACTACAGCTCTATATTAAATGTTGGTTTTATACCATCTACAACCGTCACTTTAATTCTCCATCAAAACGAACTTCCACTTAGGAATATGTGGTACGTCAGACAGGAACTATATCATACACTGCAAAACCTCTTTTATCACAGGAAACAACAGAAAAAAATCAGAGTGATCAACGTAGAAGCCACACTTTGGAAGTTTGACTTTTTTAACAAAATATGCTGACATTTAGATAAGTTATAAAATTATACTGTATAACATATGACTTTTGTCAATATTCAAAAAAAAGAAAGTCTTATCCCTCAAGGGATTAACCTAAAGAGTTGGAGTAAAACATGTGTTTGACCCCTCCTCCCTCCACTTTTTCCTTCTATCTAAAATGCAGCAGCTGTGTACACAGGTGTCCTGTCTGCAGCTATAGATTTAATAGGTGTCTCTTTGTGTTGCCTCATTGTCAGTATGATAACTCTTCACTTGGTTGGCATTTTGTCCTGTTCCTCAGTATATTTACACCAAGTCAACAAGCTGGCTACTCCATGATAATCTGTGGGCGTTCAGCCTTCAATAACGATTACTGAATCTGTTGTAACACTTACAAGTTAATGCACTGTGAAGCTTACTAAATTTCTTTTTAAACTTGTATTGGATGCACGTATTATTGTGATGTTTTGTTAGTCCCAAGAGTGCACTTAATTATAATGCTTCTGCATGAGGCTCTGTAACACATTGATCAAGGCACCTTTTTGAAGAGATTTTAATAACATTTTAAACTTGTGATGCAGTATGACCGAAGAAAAAAGACCCAATATTCAGTGATATTTACAATTACTTTATTGCTGCTATGACTAAATAATACTGTGTGATGTTCGATTATATTTCACTAAGTTTCATTCCTGTATACACTGTATCTGCAATTAATCTGTAACCTCATGAATAATTTCAAGCCCCAGGTCAGGATTCTTTCTTAACTTAAGGAAATGTTAACTCACATAGAACAGCATAATGTAAGAAAACAATTAAATTTAAGGAAGTTTCCTTAACTTATGTTATGCTTTCCTATGAGCAGTTTTAAGTTCAGGAAGTTGACTAACGTTGAAGTAGATTCGTGAAACTAAGGCCAGATGTTGGCTTTACCTCAAGAATGATACAGCACCAGTGTGTTGTAATTTGTCTACTGAAACTAACCTTAATGTCAACTCCAAATTTCTGACTTGTCGCATGTCATCAGAATTTCTGAGCCAGCAGTAATGGTCAATTGTAACCAACTAATATGCCATAATTAATTTTCTGCAGTATCATACATGTTCAGAAATTTCAGGCAAAAAATTGTTTTTTTCATTGCAACATGTGCTATAGGTCTATCCCTCAGCCCTTCCTTTAACATCAAGAATGTATTGTATTAAATAAAGTAATCCCTTAACTGACTAATTATTTTCTAGAAAAAAGTTTTGATTTTCTTTTTGGCTTACAATACACTAATACAACAAAACAATAGGTCATGAAACTTCATGCAGGGCAGCGTTTATCATTTACAGATGAAATCACACTTATGCAAGAGGATGCAGATACACATATGGTTTATGTGTTATATCATAAAGCATGAAATGACGTAGGCATGTTTTTTTCACACTGTGTTTGTGAAATATTCTGTGTATATAGGTCGACACAGCATGTTAACATCCTCCAAATTTTCAACATTACAGCTTTATCATCATGCTTCAATGCTTACCAATTACACTTAAAATAATTTTCTTAAAAACAATGTAAATTCTGTTTTGCAAGTTAGCTAGGGCATGGGAGTTTTGTCAACCTGGGGTAAAAGTAATTTTAGAATCTAAGGAAAGGGGCGAGGAGGAGTTGGATCGAAGGTACACGTGGATACTGTCACTTGTCTATTTCATTTCCTTGTCTGAAATTCAACAGTCGCCAGTGGCAACTCAAGGTCATCTTCTGGGAAAACCACGAAGAACAGAAACAAATTCAGAGGAGGTTATATAGGATGTGTTAAACCATTGATATCTACCAAATTGCATTCAACAAAATAGTTTTTGCTGATATGCAAAATATCAATAACAACTCTTACTAATACACTAGCAGCATGTGTGACCAGTGAGGTGTAAGAAAGGAGTCAAGTCTGCCCTTTTCTATCAGGTGTTCCCTATCTCATTCCTATGGTAAGTGAATATAATGTTGTGCATCAGTGTAAGTTATAAACTTAGCAGTGCTTTGCATTTGTCTTTTCAAAAGAGTTGGACACCTCAAACTTATAGCTGTGACTTAAATGCATCTCCTATCTAAAAGAGTTCCACACTCACTATGATGTGTATCTCTTTTCCTAAAGAGTTTCACTCTCACTATAATGTGTTTTTCCTTTCCAATAGAGTTCCATGCACTCTCACAATGTCTTATCTCCTTTCCTAAAGAGTTCCACACTCATTATGACGTGTATCTCCTATGACGTAGATCTCCTTTCTAATGTTCCACTCCAGATGTGGTGTGTCTTAAAATGACGAAGATCTCCTTTTCAATGTTCCACTCCAGATGTGGTGTGCCTTAAAATGACAAAGATCTCCTTTTCAATGTTCCACTCCAGATGTGGTGTGTCTTAAAATGACGAAGATCTCCTTTTCAATGCTCCACTCCAGATGTGGTGTGCCTTAAAATGACAAAGATCTCCTTTTCAATGTTCCACTCCAGATGTGGTGTGCCTTAAAATGACGAAGATCTCCTTTTCAATGTTCCACTCCAGATGTGGTGTGTCTTAAAATGACAAAGATCTCCTTTTCAATGTTCCACTCCAGATGTGGTGTGTCTTAAAATGACAAAGATCTCCTTTTCAATGTTCCACTCCAGATGTGGTGTGCCTTAAAATGACAAAGATCTCCTTTTCAATGTTCCACTCCAGATGTGGTGTGTCTTAAAATGACAAAGATCTCCTTTTCAATGCTCCACTCCAGATGTGGTGTGCCTTAAAATGACAAAGATCTCCTTTTCAATGTTCCACTCCAGATGTGGTGTGCCTTAAAATGACGAAGATCTCCTTTTCAATGTTCCACTCCAGATGTGGTGTGTCTTAAAATGACAAAGATCTCCTTTTCAATGTTCCACTCCAGATGTGGTGTGTCTTAAAATGACAAAGATCTCCTTTTCAATGTTCCACTCCAGATGTGGTGTGCCTTAAAATGACAAAGATCTCCTTTTCAATGTTCCACTCCAGATGTGGTGTGTCTTAAAATGACAAAGATCTCCTTTTCAATGTTCCACTCCAGATGTGGTGTGTCTTAAAATGACAAAGATCTCCTTTTCAATGTTCCACTCCAGATGTGGTGTGCCTTAAAATGACAAAGATCTCCTTTTCAATGTTCCACTCCAGATGTGGTGTGCCTTAAAATGACAAAGATCTCCTTTTCAATGTTCCACTCCAGATGTGGTGTATATTCTTAATCTTTTATGAATCATCTATGAAGTTTGTTTAAGTGTATTAATTGACATGATTAAAGGCACATCAGATTACACGCTTAGATAGTTCTAAATAATTAAATAATGCTTCAAAGGGGAATAACTGACACTAATCATATGTATATTGTGTAAGGACAAACTGATTCAGGTCCTGTGATATATGAGTGTGGTGAGGGCCAGGGCATACTCGTACTACAGGTGAGTGAACGATATTCCTGTTGGTTACCCAGTTGTCTTCCTGTCATTGAACAGATCCTCTGTGTATTGGATGACATAAAATCTAATCTAGTCTGAAAAATATCTGAAACAATAGTAAATGGTTGATTGCCAATGTTTACAAACAGTATATATGGAGCAGAAATACTCCAGTAGTGAATACTACAATATGAACTTGATGTATACACCACCAAAGTATAAAGAAAAATATATACTTTCACATTAATTTGCAGAGAAAATAAATGAAATATTTCACACAAATTAAAATGTATACATGTATCTAAGAGCACGGAGCAATATTATGATATGGAGGGTTGATTTAGCAACACAATGTGGTCCATGGAACTTTTGTTTTGTTTCAGAAGCTGATCAGCTAGCTTATGTACCTTAGGGCACAAAATAACGACACTCTCCTAGTCTTGGTAACTACTATAACACTTACTGGTGCCTATCTGCCCTGCTGATCCTGCCTTCTCTTACTTGTCCTTTTCCTTGGGTCCTAGGCCCCCTAATGGTCCAGTTCTGCTGATCCTGTCTTCTCTTGTCCTTTTCCTTGGGTCCTAGGCCCCCTAATGGTCCTGTTCTGCTGATCCTGCCTTCTCTTGTCCTTTTCCTTGGGTCCTAGGCCCCCTAATGGTCCTGTTCTGCTGATTCTGGTCTGGGTGTTATCCTTATCTCGTGGTCTTAATCTTAGTGGTCCTCACATTACCTGGTCTTGTCCTTTGGTCCTTTACTCCAGGTCTTAATCTTACCCATCCTATTTCTCTAGTTTAAACCTTAATGGTCCTTAAATTTTCTGGTCTTATTCTTTGGTCCTGTAGTCCAGGTCCTAATTTTACTAATCCTTACCTCACTGGTCCTGATCTTAATGCTTTTTATATTTCTAATCTTTT